AAAAGCTGTTTATGAAGTCTCTCAAGATTCATAATCATCAAGAAGAGAATGCTTGTCTGAAACTCTTATTAAAATAAAGAAAAATGTTGTTGAAAAAGAAAAAGAAAGAGAGAGAGAGAGAAGATCAAGAAAGAAATATTTATATTTAAAAGATTGCTGAGTATCACTAGATGAATTATAAGAAATGATAGTCTGAGAATGTGATAGAAATGAATCAGATTGAGAAAAACAAAATGATACATTATTAATAAAAGTTTCAGATCTGAAAGATGAATGATCACTCTTTTTCAAGATCTGATCAACTGAGACAATGAAACTAATAGTTAAAAAAGAATTATTACTAAATACAGTAGACATCATTGAGTGTTCTCATCAAGCTTAAATATTAGCACTCTGAATAAGTCATCAGCCATGCACACAGAAAGGGAATTATGAAGTGAGAAAACACTTTATAAATGACATTTCTGACTTTGTAAAAGTAATTATGAAGCACTAAGAAAAGAAGAAACAGAGAGAAATCACTTATATCATCATAATCAGAATCAGACTGATTGAACTGTGACATCTAAGAAGAGATCTCAAAGTCTTCAGAGACATAACTTTCTGTTGCATAAACAGAAACTGATGGCAATGATATCTCTTCACTTTAATTTTTTGAAGAAATGACAGTGATTGAGAACTCTGCTTCAGATGAAGCAGAAAATTCTGAAGACATCTCTTTCATTGTCTCTAAAAAGAGTCTTGAACAGTAACTGATTGAGATTTTATTTTCAAACTTACTGAGTCATTGTTGCTCATGTTTTGACATTTTAATTTTGAACAGAAGAAAGACATGACAAAATTATCTCTCTGTATAATATATTGACACTGAGAAAAGCTGTTTATGAAGTCTCTCAAGATTCATAATCATCAAGAAGAGAATGCTTGTCTGAAACTCTTATTAAAATAAAGAAAAATGTTGTTGAAAAAGAAAAAGAAAGAGAGAGAGAGAGAAGATCAAGAAAGAAATATTTATATTTAAAAGATTGCTGAGTATCACTAGATGAATTATAAGAAATGATAGTCTGAGAATGTGATAGAAATGAATCAGATTGAGAAAAACAAAATGATACATTATTAATAAAAGTTTCAGATCTGAAAGATGAATGATCACTCTTTTTCAAGATCTGATCAACTGAGACAATGAAACTAATAGTTAAAAAAGAATTATTACTAAATACAGTAGACATCATTGAGTGTTCTCATCAAGCTTAAATATTAGCACTCTGAATAAGTCATCAGCCATGCACACAGAAAGGGAATTATGAAGTGAGAAAACACTTTATAAATGACATTTCTGACTTTGTAAAAGTAATTATGAAGCACTAAGAAAAGAAGAAACAGAGAGAAATCACTTATATCATCATAATCAGAATCAGACTGATTGAACTGTGACATCTAAGAAGAGATCTCAAAGTCTTCAGAGACATAACTTTCTGTTGCATAAACAGAAACTGATGGCAATGATATCTCTTCACTTTAATTTTTTGAAGAAATGACAGTGATTGAGAACTCTGCTTCAGATGAAGCAGAAAATTCTGAAGACATCTCTTTCATTGTCTCTAAAAAGAGTCTTGAACAGTAACTGATTGAGATTTTATTTTCAAACTTACTGAGTCATTGTTGCTCATGTTTTGACATTTTAATTTTGAACAGAAGAAAGACATGACAAAATTATCTCTCTGTATAATATATTGACACTGAGAAAAGCTGTTTATGAAGTCTCTCAAGATTCATAATCATCAAGAAGAGAATGCTTGTCTGAAACTCTTATTAAAATAAAGAAAAATGTTGTTGAAAAAGAAAAAGAAAGAGAGAGAGAGAGAAGATCAAGAAAGAAATATTTATATTTAAAAGATTGCTGAGTATCACTAGATGAATTATAAGAAATGATAGTCACTACAGCAACTACATTATGATCACAGAGAAGCTGTCACTCTTGCTGTGATCTTACTGTCACATCTACATCTAGAAACTGAAATCAAATTAAAACTTTACATTGCAGTCTTCTTACATTCATCACATTAAAAAAAGATTTTGTAAGAAATTGTTACAATCACAGTGAAGCTTTCACTCTCACTATGATCTTGATTACATCAATATCTTGAAGATCAAGACTTGTGAAGAAAGAGAAATCTGTAAGACTTCATATTGTGATCTTTTTATATTCATCTCATCATCTAAAAGAGATTTATAAAATCTTCTTAATGCTTAGATGATCATGCTTCATGTCATCTGAGATTTATAAACTCTGTGACTAATTACATAATCTCACTAACAAAGCTGAACACACAAAATCTGTCACAGATGCTTTCTTACAAAGATCAGTGGCAACATATCTAAAGATTCTAGATACTATTGTAGCAATATAAGTTATCTCTCTCTCTCTCATGCTTAGATTTCTTCATAATCATCTCTCACCCAATCTAATCTCATTTATGAAGACTGTAAGTCATTGCCATGTTATCTGCAACCATCCAATTCTCACACTTTCTGAAAGGTGTATTGATTTGCATAAAGAGAATTGTCAACCAGTTTGTCAAGATTCAATTCAATCTGAAACTGAATAATTTCATGATCAGATTCAGAATGAAGATCAGAATCAATTCTTCATTCAAAGAACTTTTGAAATAAATCTGCTGACAAGAAACTCAAGTCAAGAACAGATTTATTTCTTAAGTTGGATCTGACAAATGTTTCTCTATTCACTTCATTAATCAATTCCAAGTTGTGATTTTCAAGCCATTCTATCAAGACATCAGCTCTGAGATCATTGTTTTTGTAACTTAGTTAAATTCTGCAAGACAGCTTGCAGGTAGTCTTCATAGTCTCAGACTGCACAAGACTATAATGAATAATAATAATAATAATAATAATACTGCTTTAAAAGTTGCAGAAGAAGCAGAGTTGTTAAAAAATATACATAAATGTCTTAAAAAAATACTTTAAATTGTCTGTGAAGCACAGAAAAAGTATTATGATTCAAAGCACATATTACAAACATTCAACATAAAATAAATTAACTGCAGAAATCTCTATCAAGATTTCTCAGAAACTAAGATCAGAGAACAGTACAAGTCAGTTTGTTCTAGACTGACTGTCAGAATCTCTATAGAGATTACTCAGAAACTAACATTAGAGTAGACTGACTGTTGAAATCTCTTTAAGATCTCAATGAAACAACACTGAATGTTAATCTCAATTGAGTTGATTTCAATTCCATCTCAAAATATGAATAAAAGTTCCATTCTCTTCTCAGTTTCAAATTTTCTATATTATGTCCCATTTCTAGATTTCTCTGTCTCTAAAACTACTTTAATTATTTGTCAAACTTTATTTTGAAAGTGTATTTTTACACCAAAATATGACAAAATAGAAAAATTGACACATTAAGTCAAAATGCATATATACATTTGTATATGATTTTGATACTAAAAATAGTATAAAATAAGGTTTTATTTTAAGTTTAGGGAAATTGAGAATTTCTATTTCTAATTAAATAATCCCAATCTCTTTAAATTAAGTCCCAGTCCCATCTCAATTTGTCATTAGTGCATTAGAGATGGGATTTCAGTTGGGAAATCTCTGTCCCTGCAGTTAGTCTATATCAGAGAATAGTATATGTCAGTTTGTTTCATTTGAGAATCATTTCTTTCTTAAAATTTTGTAATAAGTTTTAATTCTTTCTCAAAATACTTATAAAAGTTTTATTTTCTTAAATCTCTTCTCAGTTTTGAATATCTAAGTTTCAGATTTCTTTCAGAGAATTTTCAGACTCTGAAATAACTTTAATTTTTTTTTCAAACTTTATTTTGAAAGTGTATTTTTACATCAAAATATGACAAAATAGAAAAATTGTCACATTAAGTCAAAATTTATGTATATATTTATATGTGATTTTGATACTAAAAATAGTATAAAATAAAATTTTATTTTAAGTTTCTAGAAATCTGAAATCTTCATCTTTAAATGAATAGTTTCAATCTCTGTAACTTTAATCTTATTTTCTTTTTGAAATTTCCAAATCAAGTTTCAGATTTTTCTCAATTTTAATTATTAAATTTCAGTTCCACTTCAATTCTTTATTAATTTATTAGAAAAAAAATCTCAGAAAGAAAATTTCTGTCTTTGTGATTAGTAACAATCTATTAAAAGTTATTCTTATTTTTAGTATTTAAAGAATTAAGTTATTAAATAGTTCTAACTTCTGAATCATTTTGAATAAGTTTATATTGTTTTTACTACTTTTGAAAAACTTTTACAATACAATATGTATTTCATTTTTAATCAATTTAGAGATATAGAGTACATTAGACACAAAATAGAGAAAAAAAAAACATACTTTAATACAAAAATCTTTTATATAATTGATTAAAAAATTTAAATGATATTCAATATAAAATGATAATGTTATAGAAATCATCAGCTCTATAGTAAATTTAAATATAATTATAGATGAAGTGTATTTAAAAAAACATTATATTAAATTTTCAGAACAGTAAATTCAATGTGCATTACACTGATTCATTTCATACTTTTTAAATTTTTATGAAACTTCTTAAGTTTTAACTTTCTGCAAAAAATGCAAAAAGTGATTCAGACCCTGTGCTGGTCACATTCTGGACAATTACCCAAATGGGTTAGCTCAGAGCATATATTTGCGCTAAAAAACCTTAATAACACGCGCCTAACATGATGAGGTAACCTACCTAGTTACCTCCTCCGCTCAAAAATCTCGGCTTCCGGCCCTTGTGTGAAAGCACCTTGGCGATATGCATGCTCCATATTGACCCTCGGCTTAAACCCTTAGTTGGATTCCGAAAAGTTAACTCCCCTCCATACCCAAAAACATGTGTGATAGCTAAACCTCTGAAGACTTCATTTCAGACATGGCTAAATAGTTTCACTCTTCATTTCTACTACTCATTCATATGGTTTCTGCATGACAACCAATATCATTCATGGCTTCTGTTTCTCCACCAAAGCCATGGGAGCGATCTAATACCCCTAACACATCTGGTAAATCCTCTTGTCTTTGGCAACTTAGAGACCTATTAATGTGCTTACTAGTCAATGTAGGAACCACTCTACCAATAACAAACCAGCCGTCTGCTGCTCTCCCCTTGCGTACTGTATCAGCCGCTTCTTCCAGTTCCTTATCTTCTTCTTCATCCTCATCTCAACCCCCTGCTCTCCCTTCGAAGCCTACTGCCTTGACTTCTTTAGTGAGCCAGACAGCGTCCAACCATTCACCCTTGGGACCATCTCGGCTTGGGGCTGGACCCTACGGTGGATATGGGTACAATTCATATTCATCGCCGTACTCACGTTTCGGGGGCATGTATGGCGGTGGTTATGGAGGTATGTATGGGAGTTACGGCGGAATATACGGCGGAATGCAGAACGGCGGTGACCCAAACAGCTTGACACACTCTTTTAATCAAAGTACTCAAGCGACCTTTCAGATGATCGAAAGTATCGTTGGTGCCTTTGGAGGATTTGCACAAATGTTAGAGAGCACATACATGGCAACACACAGCTCTTTCTTTGGTAAGTAGATACGTATTTTCCCGGTCACTTTAGTATTTGACAAGTCTTCAGCTAATGGGTTGCCGATGAAGCCATGGTTTCTGTTGCCGAACAATTCGGCACCCTTCGTAACACATTAGGCTCGGTTTTGGGTATTTTTACCGTTCTTCGATGGCTTAAAACGCTCTTTGCGAGACTTACTGGCCGCCCTTTACCTGCTGACTCGATGTCTTTGACACCCACCGCATTTTCCAATTTCCTTAGCACCGGCCAATCTCCAACTGCCCCGTCCAATCGGCCTCAAGGATCACTTCGCCCATCGAAGAAACCTTTTTTCTTTTTTGTAGCCGCAGTTTTTGGTCTCCCATATCTCATGGGAAAACTGATACGTACGCTTGCGCATTCACAAGAGCTAGAGGCCAAACGGCAACAAGATTTGATGATAGCCTCTGGGCAGCACACTGGCTCTATCGATCCTTCAAGGCTCGATTTCTGCCGTGTCTTGTATGATTATGCACCAGAAGTGCAAGCAGCTTCCGGCATAGATTTGACTGTGAAAAAGGGGGATATTGTGGCAGTTCTCTCCAAAATTGACCCAATGGGGCGTCCGTCTGAGTGGTGGAGATGTCGAGCTAGAGATGGATCGGTCGGATATCTACCTGGACCTTATTTGGAGACAATACAACGGAAGCCACCACGCGAAAAGACAATAGCTCCTGGTGATAACATAACGAAGACTGCCAGCAGTTTGGACGGCGCCTTAGAGGATTACACAAAATTTGAAATTCAAAGTAAAGCCGTTGGCCCATCCACATGACGTCCTCAAAAAGCCGCATTCTATTCACAAGCTTCCCTAAACTGATGTATGTAGTTAAGACACGGACTATATTTTTTAATGATTTTTACTTGGTGTCCATGATGACCATGCCTACTATCACCATTTTTTTGGCTTATTGCTGGTTAGGCGATTATGGGTGCTTTGTGGAGTATGCTTGACTGTTCGTCCGTCTGTCAACCTATTTCTTCAGATGGCCTGTGGGGAAAATGTAAACTCTGTACTCTGAATGTATTTAGACTTCCAATATAGAGCTATTCACAGCACTGTTGGGAACAATTTATGCATGAAATTTTCATAAATTAAAGAAGAAAATTATGTAACTGTAGATCTTAGCTTTTTCAATTTGATTCAGAATGTCTTCAATCAATAAAAGTGAGTATTAATTTCTTACTGTCTTTAAATTTAAGTCTTAATAGTTCACATACATTCATAACTCTTCATTTTTCTTTTTTGTAAACAAGATGAATGATTCAGTTAATGATCTAAAGAGTCTGATAAATTCACTTAACAAAATAGAGTTGACATACTCTTATAAAGTCTATATCTCTGTCTCTGAAAATTAATACATAGAGTCAAACTTTGATACTGTTTCTGACAATAATTTAATATTTAGATCATTCTTCTGATGAGAGAGCAAAAAAACATCTTTTATAACATTAAATACATTGATTAAATCTTCATAACTGTCTGATATTTACAGATATATATTTATAATGATAACTTATTCATTTTTATGAACTTTTATTATATAGAAGAATTTATCATCATTAATAAGTTCACTTAGAGAAACTAACTTGATTTTTATTATAAAGTTTAATTCATTTTGTTTATGAAACTTAAGTAATAGATTTTTAAATGAAATAATAAAATTATAATAATATAGTTAGAATAAATCTAACATTATATTCTTAAATATATTAATTATTAATATTTATTCATTAAATATTCATTAATTATTCATAATATTCTATATTTCAAGAAAAATGTTTGTGATTTTTTTAGATACTAACTTAAAATAATTCTTTTCTGTAGTCTTTATCTCAATATTTATTTTATAAATTTTTAAACTCAGTCTTACTGTAAGCTTCAGATTTATGACAAGAAAAAAATATAATGAGTCTACTACAGTAGTTCACTTAATTTCTTTTTCTATTTCAGAGTTATAAACTTTAATAAATAATAAAATTGAAAGAACAACTTATAGTTTAGATAATTTTAATTATTTAATATTTATTTTATTTACAGACTATTCTTTAAATTTCTATTTCTTTTTTAATTTAATACATTTATCTGTATAGTGATCAGTTTCATCACAATTGTAGTAAGTATTTTTATCTAATTTTTCATCTTATTTAAGATTTATAAACTGAAAATTAAAGATTTTCTGATGTTAATTTTCTTTCTATACAATAAAGTTCAGATCTTATTTCTATAATTCTGAATTTCTGATCTTATAATTCATGAGTTTAGTTTAAATAGAATGATGTTTCATTATGATTAATATTTATCTCTGAGATGTATTGTAACTTTAAGTTAAAAATAAAACTTTTAATACTAAATTGTAATTGCATTGTAACTCTTTGAATTTTATTTAGTTTTTCTGAGAGATTCTTCTGTTCATCTAATTTATTACACATAGATTTATTATATTGTTATAGAAAAAAATATTTAATGAACTTATTCACATTTTATATTTCTTCACTCACTTATTATAAATGTTGTTTAAATTACTACAATTAGTTAAAGTCTAACTCATCATTTCTTTCACAAAAATGAATGAAATAGATTTCTTCAGATCAATTAAACTTAATTTTCAGAATCATTTAGTTATAAAAGTAGAAATTGTTTAAGTTCAGTTCAGATGTTTAGAATGAAGTTTTAAATTAAATATAATTTTCAAAATTCTTTCTCATTATAATTCAATCTCATCACTGCATACTTTAGAGTCTTATTAGTTATTAGTATTCACATCATTAGCATTTTAGATGAATTCTATTAAAATAATAAACTGTTAATGAACATTATAAAACTGTGAGAATTGGGTGGTTGCAGATAATGTGGCAATGGCTTACAGTCTTCATAAATGAGGTTAGGTTGGGTGAGAGGTGGTTATGAAGGGATCTAAGCATGAGAGAGAGAGAGATAACTTATATTGCTACAACAGTATCTAGAGTCTCTAGATATGTTGTCACTGATCTTTGTAAAGAAGTGTCTGTGGCAGATTTTGTGTGTTCAGCTTTGCTAGTGAGATTATATGATCAGTTATGAAGTTTATGAATTTCAGATGCCATGAAGCATGATCATCTAAGCATCAAGAAGATTTTATGAATCTCTTTTAGATGATGAAATGAATGTAAGAAAATTGCAGTGCAGAGTCTTACAGATTTCTTCTTCTTTATAAGTCTTGATTCTCAAGATGTTAATGTGATCAAAATCACAGTAAGAGTGACAGCTTCACTGTGATTGTAATAACTTCTTACAAAATCTCTTTTTGATGTGATGAATGTAAGAAGACTGCAATGTGGAGTCTTAATTCAATCTCAGTTTCTAGATGTAGATGTGACAGTAAGATCACAGCAAGAGTGACAGCTTCTCTATAATCATAATGTAGTTGCTGTAGTGACTGTCATTCTTCATAATTCATTTAGTGATACTTAGCAATCTCTTGAATATAAATATTTCTTTCTTGATCTTCTCTCTTTCTCTTTTTCTTTTTCTTTTTCAACAACATTCTTCTTTATTTTGATAAGAGTTCCAGACAAGCATTTTCTTTTTGATGATTATGAATCTTAAGAGACTTCATAAAGAGCTTTTCTTAGTACTAATATATTATGCAGAGAGATAATTTGCTGTGTCTTCTTTCTGTTCAAAATTAAGATGTTGAAATGTGAGCAACAATGGCTCAGTAAGTTTGAGAGTAAAACTTCAATCAGTCATCATTTAAGACTCTTTTTAAAGACAATAAGAGAGATGTCTTCAGAATTTTCTGCTTCATCTAAAGCAGAGTTCTCAATCACTGCTGTTTCTCAAGAAAATTAAAGTGAAGAGACATCATTGTCATTGATCTTCATTTACACAACAGAGAGTTATGTCTCTGAAGACTTTGAGATCTCTTCTCAGATGTTATAATTCAGTCAGTCTGATTCTGATTATGATGATGTAAGTGGTATTTTTCCATTTCTTCTTCTTTTAATACTTTGTAATTGCTTTTATGAAGTCTGAAATATTCTTTATGAAGTGATTTCTCACTTCATAATTCTCTTTTCTGTGTGCATGACTGATGGCATATTCAGAGTGCTAATATTTGAGCTTAATGAGAACACTTAATGATGTCTACTGTGTTTAGTAATAATTCTTTTTTGACTACTAGTTTCATTGTCTTGATTGATCAGATCTTGAGAGAGAATGATCATTCATCTTTCAGATCTGAAACTTTTGTTGATAATGTGTCACTTTATTTTTCTCAGTCTGATCTATTTCTACTACATTCTTGTTCTCAGTCTGTGCTCTTTTCTATACTGCATTCATTCTCAAGCATTGATTCTGTCTTCAATGCACTTAAGATATGTTGAGTTGCTTTGTAACATAACTTATAAGACAGTTTCTGCTTCATAAACTCATTTATGAAGTGATATTGAGAGTCTCAGCTAATGCTTTTCTTTTTCTAGAAGTCAGTCTTATTAACTTCTTCTCTGTCTGCTGTGTCTGCTTCTGCTTCTGCTTCTGCTTCTCCAGCCCCTGCTCCAGCTGTTAACTTATCAGCCAGAACATCAGTTACTATGAGTCATCTTTCACTTTTAATCTTAGATCAGAATTCATCTGATCATAAGAGACAACTTCTTACTTTCTTCTCTCTTTGATCTGCAACTCTTACTGATTCAACAGACTCTGTTTGACTGAGAGATAGAACTCAGCTCTGAGAGAAAGTTCTGATCACTATGACAGATAATTATCTTCAGCAGTCATGTACAGTATGTCAGAGTAACTTAAATTCTTCATTGAGACAGTGTGTCATAAGTTCTCTTGATAGCAACAGATGTAATAACTGTGTCTATCAGACACACAAAACTTATTCTTTCAATTCTTAGAATTGCTCTCTTATTTTCTTTCTTTTATTACTGCAGACTTTGATCACTAATAGTCTAGTTTTCTCTTTCTCTTGCAGACTTCAGTCATTAATAGTCTAGTTCTTTCTTTTATCTTAGAGTAAATTCACTACTTCTGCTTCATGAATCACTTTTTGACAGTTGTAAATGCTTTTACAGACTGAGTTTTCTTCTAAATCAATTCACTACTCAGATCACTGCTCATCTGCTTCATGAATCATTTTCTAACTGCTTTGTAAATGACTTTACAAATCTAACAAGACCTCTCTAAGTGCACATTCTCAGAATATGATGTAGACTGAGCTTGTCTGAATGTTTTCTATGAAACTTAAACAGCTTCTTATCTAGATGTCTCACATTCTTTGAAGACTCTCAAGTTCTTTTCTCATATCTCTGTCACTGCACAAGATGTTTAATTGCTCAGTCATTTTTATGAAAGTCAACAATCTTCTGTATCTGATACTCTTGCTTCATAGAGAATGTCTCATAAATTGAGTGATGTGATTGACTATTCACTCTCTTCTGTTTCTTGTGTTTGATTAGAAGAGACACATGAAACACATTGTGTACTTTCAGCTCTGATGATAGTTTCAATTAATAGATTTGGAATCTCAATTTTTTCACAATTCAGCATGATTCATGCTGAAGAACATCTAACTTCTTGCTAGAACATGCTGTTCTAATGTTATGAAGATCTAATCACATCTGATCATCTTCATAAAATGATATCACAGTATGTTTCTTGTCATAGTAGCTTTTTTAATAGACTTGTGTCTTTGTAAGACTCTTTCAAGCTGTCTTATGCAGCTCTTTTAACTGATCTGTCAGTTTATGAGACTCAGTTGTGACAGATGCTGGTATTTCTGCTCCCAG